AGACTGACCACTGTCCTCAGTAATGTGGACACATGGACACTGTACATTGGCAAGCTTGTTACTTTGCAGTGTACCTGATTTTACAGGTGGGCAAAAAAAAAGTTATTTTCCTAACTTCAAGTTGTGTGTGTGTGTCTGTGTGTGTGTCTGTGTGTGTGTGTAAAGCTCGTAACTTTGCGGTACCTGATTTTACATACGGGGGGGGGGCTAAGAAATTTTATTTTCCAAACTTCAGTTTGTGTGTGTGTGTCTATGTGTGTGTGTGTGTTGAATGCATGCGCTTTTGCGTGCGTTTGATCCAACAGAGGATGATGTGCGATTATACCTCCCACAGGCATCCACGACACGACAAACTGCTACTGGATCCCTCTGGGCGACCAGGCTGTGACCTTGATCTTCCGTCTGGCCGAGACCCCTGACCTTGTGTGCGCACGTCTGCTGCGAGAGCTGGTGAAGGAAGTGGCGGGGTCGATGACCCGCGACGACATTGCAGATGCTAATGGTGGCAGTGAAGGTGTGTGTTATGTAGACTTCTTTCCTGTTCATTTTATTTTTTCTGTCCGACTTTTTTCCTTTTCTCATTATTAAACCTTTTACACCCCAGCCCCATGTCGCGCTCATACTGTGCCGGAACAACATAGGGGGACTGCTGCTTTTTCTTTCCTACTCCTTACTATCGTCATTTTTCCTCTACTTCTATTAAATGTTTGTCACTCTCTTGTGAACTGCTATTTGCGGGGTGGCTTGATAGTCGAAGCAGACTTTGTGCTGTTGAGGCTAGAGAGGTGAGCAGAGTAAGTCTGATTCCCCGTTTGGACTTCTCTGTTGACATCCACCCCTTGGCTATCATATGACCTTATGCAGTTGCGAGCGCTGTAAAAGCTCTACTAAAACTACACTAAAAAACTTCCTTTAATGTGAGGGGTGTGTGTATTTAGCCGGAATCATTTCTGTCTAGGAGTGTGTGGTAGAAGGGGGTCACTGGTTACGGTAGACTGTTAGGTCCTACTTTGTTTGTTTCCCTGTACTGTAGTTGGTCCTGTTGGTTTTCCCTTCACTGAGTGGCCGTTGTTGTATTCATGTGTTTCTCTGGACACAGTCTCTGAACTGATGTGTTTCTCTGGACACAGTCTCTGAACTGATGTGTTTCTCTGGACACAGTCTCTGAACTGATGTGTTTCTCTGGACACAGTCTCTGAACTACTCTAATGTTACTTCTAGTTTATGTTCCTGGCTGGTTGGTGGGTGCTCTGGTGTGGTTTGCTCCTTCTTTCCTATGTTGTTATCGATCCAGTCTTCTTTCCTATAAAACAATTGCTGTCCTTACAAAATCTCTCTTCTTTCTTTTTTCATATGGTACTCTCTTGTATCACTTCTAATCTTCAGCACTTCTGTGACTAAATTGTGCTGCAAGAGTGGGTGGTTGGCGGGTGCTTTGGTGTGGTTTGCTTCTTTTTTCCTATCAAACATCTATCGTCCTCTCTCCTCCTCCTTTTTTGTGTTTGTTACTCTCTTGCAACACATCTAATCTTTTGCAATTATATGACCTTATTGTGTTGCAAATGCTGTAACACTCTTACTAAAACTAAAACTGTTGCAAGTGCCGTAACACTTTTACTAAAACTAAAACATCTGTGATATCTTCCCGTCCAGGACCCGAGCGTCCCCCTCTGTCCGGGGCAGTGTCCAGTGTGTTGGCGCGAGTCCTCTCCCTGGCCGGCCAGGTGGCCTTCCGACAGACGGTGTACCTGGAGGTGGACGTCCTCACCGAGATGAAGAGACGCCAGGCGGCCATGGAGGAGGGCAGACAGAAGGGGGGGGCGGCCCGACGCAAGAGTAAAGGCTCCGATTCCTCCAAGGTATACAAATACAGGTTATGTGGTGTGTGGCAGGCTCTCACAATAATGGGTCACGTGAAATCAGCTGCTGATCCATTTTTGGGGCATACAGAGTTTTTGGTTTCATCTCAACACTTTGCAGTCACACAGTCGGCATGCAGTCACACAGTCGGCAGTACAAAATGCCCCATCTGGTCACACAGCCAGAAGAGTGACTGTGACTGCAACAGACTTCTCAGGCCTGGCACAGAACTACGTCACCAGGTGACCAGAACGGATAATTTTCACCGTCGCATTACTGCGCCAAGTGACCGCAAAGTGTTCAATCCTGTTCATTTATCTTATTTTTGAGGGAAAAAGTACCCGTTCTATCTATCTTGAATGGAAGTTGAGAAATTTACAATTGAAGGAGGTCAGGGTCACCTGGTGCTGGAGGTTAGAATAAGAGAGAAACTGGCCATTCGTCATTCAGTTGCTGTATAGTGCATGGTTGGCCAGTGATTTGTGGCTGTATAGTGCTTGGTTGGCCAGTGATTTGTGGCTGTATAGTGCTTGGTTGGCCAGTGATTTGTGGCTGTATAGTGCATGGTTGGCGGGTGCTGTGGTGTGCTTTGCTACTTCTTTCCTACCAAATATCTGTTGTCCTTAATTCTCTTCTTT